GGCTGGTCTCAAACCCCTGGGCTCAGGCAATCCTCTTGCCTCGGCCTCCCAAAGTGCTGGGATTACAGGTTTGAGCCACCACGCCCAGCCTTTCATACTGTCTTTAAAATGGACTAAAACCAGGCTCTTGGGTGTGTTACGTTGTCTGTGGGCACTTCCTGTGGCTGTATGCACCTCCAGGATGTTCTAGAGAAGGGAGCACATGGGTCTTTATTCCAAGATTTACTGTGTGCTTCCATGTCATTTCCACTTGAACGCAACTTCTCTCCCTTCCTGACCATGGGGGGTTCCCGGTCTTGTCCCGTTGAAGATGAGCCATCCAGTCTTTGTCACAGTGTCATCTGGGCATCGGAGTGACTGTGCTGTCGTTTACTCCCAGGTGTCCTGGCTGGGCATGACAACCGCGTCAGCTGCCTGGGAGTGACTGATGATGGCATGGCTGTGGCGACAGGGTCCTGGGATAGCTTCCTCAAGATCTGGAACTAACGCCAGTAGGTAATGCACCGCCCAAATGCCCTTCCCTTGGGAGCCATATGCATCTCTTCAGGACTTGTGAAATGTGATTTGTGGTTTCTGGGTTAATTTTGCCATCACACTGGAATCGTGGTAAGGTAAATTTTTGTGGAAACCTGAAGTCACGTGCCTACAGCTGCACAGGTGACCTGACTACACATGTGCATTAGCTGTTTTGTTTCTCTTTATATTGATTTAAACTCTGTTTCAAACAGCACGTGAACACCACGGAGACTGGAAGAGCATTCCAACCTGGCGCGTTGCCGCGAGAGCATATCCTATCAACCTACTAACGTGAACACCCCACACCTCCCCCCAGAATTTCAAAGGGCAAGATCTTTCCTTCACTTATTGCTGAAACCAAGAGCACAATTCCCATTAAGAGAAGGATCTCTGTGCTGTCAACTAAAACAAATTGTGCATTCCTTCCGGGGCCATTGTCTTTGTTTTCTTTTTTGTCTTGAATGAATTTTAAAAGGAAATACTATAATAAAAATATTAACCAGAAGGTAAACTGAGTGTAATTGTGAGACAGACACACCTTTTCACTAGTTTATTTGAATTTTAGACCAGTGATCCTGTTTTGTGGCATTCATGCAAAACAAGTTGAGGACTTTGTTCATCTTGTAACCATTTCTAAATTTCAGTCATGTTTGTAGCAAGAGTTGGAAGCATTCATATTTCCTTTTAAAAATATATTCCTTTATGTTGAATAGTTAACCAGAACCAGAGAGTCTAGGGCAGCCGCTCTGGCATTGTCAACGATGTAAATTTAGTCCCTGTTTTTTCATTGTTGCACACAAACGAGGTGTAGAAAGAACTTGTTCGGATGTCAAGTCCCCAAGCACATGCTGTTGATGGTCTTGAGTGTGTGGTCAAAGAGTCCTTCACCTTTTCTAAGTAGTGAACTCAGACCCAGCACCACTTTCCTCCCGACCTACCCTACCTCCTCCATTTAGTTCCAATCTCTCCCTGGGTTTCCCAGTGAAGTTGGAGGGAAGTTTATAATAGCCTAACACTACCCCACCTTACCCCCAACTATCAGGAGCCTCTGTTTTCAAGAGAGATGCCTGTCCTGTGCTTGGATAGTCAGTCAATTATTTGTGTATGAAACAATGTACAAATCAATGTTTTGAAAATAATGATCTCAGACTTTCTAAGTTAAATTTTAAAAAATTTGATTGTTTGCCATATTGGGTGGGTTTACTCTTAGAATCGCATGCTGTAGAAATGCTCAAAAGTGCATATAGGACTCAGTCCTTAGATGTCTTTTCTTTTAAGAATAACTTCTCACAGTTGTTTCCACTACAGCTGTCACTCCCCATCCTGCTCTGGGCAGAGCATATCTGAAGCAGTTCCACGCGCCGCTGTACACACCGGGGTAGCAGGACAAGCCACTGTTTTCTTTATTTCTTTAAAACAAAACAGTCCTGTTGCAAACGGCTGCTGCTGGATTCTGAGGGTGGGAGGGAGAAGGGGCTGTAGACCTGCCCTCCTCCCTGCAGTTCCTCATGCCTGTCTCTCTGGACAGGCCTGTTGCCCCTGGTTTTCACTTCCAGCCCAGGGCTCAGCAGCAGCGTGTGGGCGGCAGCGTGCTGTGGATCCCTCCCTGACTCCCACCTTCTATAGCAGCGGTAGTGGCTTCTCCCTCCTGTTTCTGCAACATCCTGTACAAAACTGTGCTGTGACTGTGCGGTAGGCCTGGATCTGGCAAAGAGAATCAAACGAAACCCTTCTTTCTCTTTCCATCAGACAACTCTGTAGAGCTCCCTGCACCTCTCCCTTCACCTTTTGTATTTAATTTTAAAGTCAGTGTACTGCAAGGAAGCTGGATGCAAGATAGATACTATATTAAACTGTACCGTTATTTAAGATGTAATAAAGCAGTTTGACATGAGGGACTCGGGTGTGGTGATTATTTGCTGGTGTGCCAGGTCTGTTGTCATCATGCCAGGAGGTGCCTCGACCACTACCACATCACAGACTCCAGGGAAGGAGCCTCAGCCCTTCAGCGGGTCCTGTAAGTCCACCTCGCAGGCTTCGGAGCAGGCAGGTCACCTGTCGCCTCCCAGGCCCTCTGGGGCTGGAGGCTCCCCCGGGCAGCCGCCCTGCTGTTCTCTCAGCCTCCACTATGCTGGCTGCCCTGACTTCCTCTTCCTGTTTCCCTGCCCTAAAATAGCAAGGATGTGTTACTCCACAGATGCCTTCCTTTGAACGGAACAGTCTTCATCTCAGTCTGTATAAAAGAACAGCATCTTCCACGACAGGGTGGGAAACCCTGAGCTGTGGGTTCCCCATCCCTGCTTTCCAAGTGCTGGGTGTTTGAAATTTTCAACAATGGATAATATTGTAAAAGGCAGTTCAGTGATTCCCGTGGTTCAAATGCAGTGGAGAATGCGCCCACTGCAGGTGCCTGAGACCCCTTCTCTCCTTGCCACATGGCGGGGAAGCTGGCGCTGTTGCTCCATGCAGGCAGTGGGCACCCCTCCAGCCAAAGTACCGGGTTGTCTCCTCTGTGGGTGACCTGGTGCTGCCGCAGCTGCCGAGGTAGGAGTGATTGGCAGCTGAACAGGGTGGGTTTGCCTGGCTTCATCCTCCTCCCCCACTTCTCCCTGAAATAAACCTGTTCCAGCAGGCACAGGTTCACTGCAAGTGTTAACCCAACTGTCTTACAAGAACCCTGAACAAAAGGCAGGGAGAGCACTTGAGGTCCTTCCTGGTGGGCATCCTGCAGGTCCGAGGCAGAACCAGCACAGGGTGGGTGGACCTGCTTGGGGTGGGTAATGGGACCCACACGGGGTGGGCAACAGGCAGGGAATCAACTAGGGCTGCCAACACCGACTCCACTAACTCCCTTCAGGAATCCTTTGCACCCTGACACCCAGCTGACAGTTGGCATGTGGTCTGGGACTCAATCCCTCGCCCCTTTTCTCCCCTGTGCCGTGCTGCAGAAGAGCAAGAGCCAGAGCCCCTCCCTGGGGTACCGTCCCACTGTCTTAGCAAAGCAGGCACAAGAATGGGTGCCATGTATGTGCACTGGACAGCGGCACTGGCTGGCAGCATGGGAGGGCCAGATAACACCGCATGCTGCAAACTGCACATTTCAAATTTGCACAAAACTCAAGGCAACAACTAAAGCAGCACCTGTCATGCTGGCACTGTACCCCCCCGCAGGCCCTAGGAAGCGCTGCTCCCCCATGGCCAGGCCCTCTGGCCAACCCCACCTGTCTACTCCATGTCCCAGGTGGGGATGGTCTCCATGTGCCTCTAGCATGGTGGCCTACATGTCCACTTGGAAAGAGCAAGTCTTCCACCCTAGACCTTGGGGGGAACCCACATGGGAGGCGCCCTCGCCCATGCGAAAAGGGACACGCCTGCAGCCACCATGCCTAGGGGTTCCACTGGCACCCCAACCCCATGAGTCCAGGCTGGGCAGAGGGGGCTGGCCCAAGGCAGGCCTCTTCCCGGAAAGGCCAGACGCCCAACACTGCCCCACCTCTCACCTTGCTGCCTACCATTCCCCCAGGTTCACCCAGCCCCTTGCTCGCTAGGTGATCTGGGTAAGTTACTAGACCTTGGAAAATGTGGACATGGGAGTGTAGTGAGTCCCATGGGAGTGTAGTGAGCCAGGTGGGTAATACCAATGACCCTTGCCCACCCCAGAGTTGTGCAGCCTCAGGGGCTCTGCCCGCTGTTCTCTCTGCTGGAGGGACATTTGTCGCTGAGTCAAAACTACTCAACCAGGCCTAGCATGATGGCTCAAGTCTGTCATCCCAGCAGTTTGGGAGGCCTTGGCAAGAGGATTGCCTGAGCCCAGGGGTTCGAGACCAGCCTGGGCAACTTGGTGAGATCTCATCTCTACAAGAAATCAAAAATTAGCCAGGTGAGGTGATGTGTGCCTGTGGTTCCAGCTACTTGGAAAGTTGAAACGGAAGGATTGCCTGAGCCCAGCAGGTTGAGGCTGCGGTGGCCGTGAGCATGCCACTGCACTCCAGCCTGGGTGACAGAGTGAGACTCCAACTCAAAAAACCAAAAACTACCCAACCCTTGCTGGTGCTGATACTTGTCTGCCCCAGCAAAAAGTGAACTCCTGATGGACTTCAGTCTCCTCCTTTGGTGACTCCTCAGCATGCCTGGCACAGAGCTGGCACTCTGGGAGAGAGGTTGCCTCCTCACCAACCCAAGCAGGAAACCCAAGGGTTCACTTACTGACAGTGGCCCCTGTGAGAGCCCCAGGCCAGGCGCTGAGGCCCGGGAAGCTGGGCGGGGCCTGCGCCTGGCTGGCGTGAGGCTACATGAGTTGCCCTCTTCCCTCCAGCCTTTCACTTGGGGAACTCCTCGGCCCCTCCCAGCCACCCGTCCCCAGGCTCCTGGCCACTTCCCCTTTGAGGTTCTGGGCAGCATTTGTTCACCCATTCACCCCCGTCAAGCCAGCTGAAACCAACCTCCCTCCCCTAGGACTCCAACAAGATGCACCCTGCACAGTCGCTGCCCCCGATGGCCACCCCCAGCCCCGCCTGGGTGATGAACCCTGGGCCACCCCCCACACCCTCTTCTCCCCATACCCCGCCCATCTCAGCCCTCAGAAGAGGACAGGTCCAGGTTTCGGGGGCTCTGAAAGTAGACAACAGGGGGCCCTCCTTAAGAGAAGAAATATCAAAAAATCGTGTTAACAAAGTCAGCAGCTGTGGAGACAACTCCGGGGCTCAGAAAGGTCAGGGTGGGGCTGTGTCACTCACTGCTGCCCCATCCCTAGCCTGGCCCAGGCGAGAAGGGTCCGTTCCTGACCCCCAGTCACTCAGAGGCAGAAGCCCTTCCTGTGTGCTCAGCCTGGGGTGGGTCCACTTGCCCCACCAGGCCCGCGCCAGCCTTTGACCCCGCGGTTCCAGCCCCTGGGACTTCCTGCCCCTCTGGCCTCAGGCCAAGTGAAACTACCACTGGGAAACTTCCGGATCCCCTCAGGCACCCCTCCCAGCTTTGGCCTTAGTTATTGCTGGTCAGGCCTGGGGTGGGGAGTGAGCTCTTGGCCCTCGAATCCCCAGGGTCCAATCTGGGGCCTTGGAGAAATTGCACAATCAGGTCAGCTGAAGGAAGCCACAACCCTTGTTTTCTCCTGCAGGCCTCCAGGTCCTGGGTAGACAAAGCGTTTCCATGGCTACAGACAGGGCTGCCCAGTTCCCTTTAGAGGGAGAACACAGGAAGGGCGTTTGCTATGTGACCTTGGGCCTCTGCAGAAGGGAGTGAGGGCCCCACTCTAGAAGGCTCTACAGAGGCCTGGCCTAGTGCCTGGCACTCTGCGCTGATGTGTGCACCCTCTTGATCAAGCATTATTATTATGGTAATGATCAGATCAAAAACACAGCTCAAGGTTTCTGTGGGTGTGGCTGTCAGTCACTTGGAAAAGTGGTTGGGTTTATAGAATAACCCATGGGGAAGTTACAGAGCTTAAGAAATCCCCCCAAATTTCCGCCCTCCTTGCCCCCCTTTCCAATCACTCGGTGACCCCACTGCACAGCTGTCCCAGACGGTAGTGCTGTTCTTCCCTAAAAGACAGGCCAGGCTGTGTTTTGGGCCTCTGGACACAGTCCCATGGACCAGGAGCAACCTGATCCTGGCAGGTATGTGGCTGTGAGGAAGGCCTGCAGAGGATTCGGGTCCACAGGCTGGGGCCGGGTGATCCCTGCTGGAAGTGTGGACCAAGATCGAGCCTCAGAAAACGATGGTTGGCACTTAGGGGGGGCAGCAGGCTACAGAGCACCTAGCGGTGTGCGGCCAGTCTAGTCTACACCAACCAGGAGCCTGAGAACAGGGTCCGGCACCCTGTTGGGACATCCGAGGCATTGAAATACCTCACTGGGTGGGGCCGCAGTTTCACCAGAAGCTACAAAGTCCGCTCTGGTGGCCTCGGTCACGTCCTCCTAACTCCCCGGGTTCTCCCACCTGCGAGGCCTGCACAACATTGCCTGATCCCTGGCCACCCTTGAGGAGCCCCAGGCCACCGAGTCCTCCACGGCCAGGCCGGACCCGAGGTCCTGGTGAGTGTGCAAGGCGGGCGTGTGGCCCCGGTGGCCGCGAGTAGCCCGGGGAGGCAGCACTGTCACAGCGGCTCCAGGGCTTCGGTTCCCAAATCCAGCTCGGTCCCTGCTGTGTCACGGCCTGGTAATTAAGGGATCGGCGGTGGGCGGGGCCACCTCCCGCAGGACACCTGCGAGCCCAGAGCGGGCCCAGCCGGCGCTCCCTCCCGGGCCCAAGTGGACCAGGAAACGCCGCCAGCGGGGGAGGGGAGGCTCAGACGCCCGGGGCGCGCAGGCCTAGGCTGGCGGCCCCGGAGGCGCGCTCCCGATGCGGCAGGTGAGTAGGCTCGGAGGCCGGGGGTCACCCTTCTCGGGCGCCCGCGCCCCAGCTCCGCGCTGCCCCTCCCCTGG